TGAGAAGCAGCAGTACACCTATCAATCAATGATGGCGTACACGATACTGCTAAGAAACATCACCCCGACCCAGCAGCAGAACATCAGGACTTACCGAGGCTACGGCAACTCCGCGGAGCTCGCGTACAACCACCTGAAGAACCTGTATCAAGCAACAGACAGCGTAAATCAAAGCAGGTTAATGGCGCAGTTGACAACAATTGAAATGAAACCAGGCGAGAAAGGCATGGCTTATATCAGCCGCTGCCGCGAACTGCGCGACAAGCTTCTTCGATGCGGAGGGTCGATTTCAGAAGACGCCTTTGTCACGGTGGTCATCGGCGGTCTCGGCCCCCATTGGCGCTCCACTCGCGCCATATTACGAGCACACGGGAGGATTTCCGAAGCGGCACTCTGCGCCGAAATTCATGCCGAGCAGCAGGACATGGACCTGCAAGAAGAAAGACACAAGAAGAAAACATTAGCACCGGAGTTTGCGTTTCAAATTCAGCGACGATACAACAACAACAACAACAATCGACAACAGCAACAAGTGAAGACGGTACCTCCGTTTTGCCACATCTGCAAGACTTCGGGACACCCTCGCACGCGCTGCCCGTCTCGTCAGACAACACCACAGCGACAACTCCGGCCTTCAAGCTCCCAAGTTGCCTCAACACAAGCAAATCCGACGACCTCAATCCAAGCTTCAACGACTCCAACAGGACAATCTGCACAAGGAGCAAGAAACATTGTCAATTGCCTGGTGAAGATAACTGATTCGTCCACAACCAAATCACCACCTCACTACTCACCGGAAGAAGAGCTCGACAACAGGACGCCTCGCCGCGAGTCACTCCAACCGAATCCGACGTACGCCGCCATCGCTCAAAGCGAACCGTCCGGGCAAGACACCTGGTTCTTGGACGGTTGCTGCGGACAACATATGTGCTCCTCGGGACGCTTCGTTCAACGCGAACATCGACTCTAGTGAGAAGTAGTCATCACGGTAGCCAACAACCAGAACCTGCGCACACGACGACAAGGAGTAGTTCAACTTCAATCAAGAGATACAAAAGTCATACTGCACATGTCAAAGGTACTCGGTTATAACTTACTGAGTGTCAGCCAGCTGATGGCGAAAGGCATCGACTTGGAAGCCGACAGCACCACCCAGGAGTTTAAACTATACCACGGGAAGGGCGGCCTCTACATCGGAAGAGCAGTCTTGAAGAACAACGTCTTCGTCCTCGATTTCGTCCCCGACCTTGGCACTGCAGATAGCGACGCCATCGTCAACTTCGCCGATTGGACACATCCCCCGGATCTCGATCCCGACTTCAGCCCGGGAGGTTTCTGGTACTCGCACACCATCCCTGAAGCAGAACGAACACGAGCGTTAGCAACAATTCAACAAACGGCAGTAGCAGAGACAACATCGACAGCAGCAGAGACAACATCGGCAGCAGCAGAGACAACATCGGCAGCAGAGAGACAACATCGGCAGCAGCAGAGACAACATCGACAGCAGCAGAAACATCATCGGCAGCAGCAGGACCAACGATACCAGTCATCGTCCACGAAGCACCACCAACACCCGCACAGCAACTGAACCCGACTCAACGAGAAGTCCACAGAAGCGCCAATGTCGTCGCCAGCTTCTACTCCAACTCCGACGCGTATCAACGCTCACCCGGACATCGCGCTCCTGAAGACATCTGGCACGCACGCACAGGACATCCAAGCAACACAGTATTAAATAACACAATACGAGCAGGAGTCCTCGACAAAGATTCGCTACTACTACCCGACGGCAGAGAACTTCAACGGGCACGAGGAACTTGTCTCATCTACCCCGAAGCCGACTTACCCCATCGACCGTTTTCTTCTCACCACAACCCGAGCGCACCTGCATACGCACCACTCGAGAAAGTATACAGCGACATCCTCTTCAATCGAGAACCAGGACAAGTCACCTACAATTACACAATAACCTTCATCGACGCCGCCACTCGATACGTCTGGCATCGAAACCTACCCAGCCGCGACATGGCACTCGCAGCGTTCGCCGCTTGGCTACCGGTAGCAGAGAGGGAATCAGGAACACAGCTGAAAAACTTCCAGTCAGACGGAGGAGGAGAATACACCTCTCAGCGCTTCAAGCAGTACCTGGCGGAAAGGGGAATCAAGCAACTCCTCTCCCTTCCCTACGCCCATCAGCAGCAAGGTGTTGCAGAAAGAATGAACAGGACTCTGCAGAACAGCATGCGCAAACTGCTACGTGGCATGCGGCTACCCAACCACCAGTGGCCTGCAGCAATGGACCATGCTGTCATGCTGCACAACTTGCTGTCGTCGTCGTCACTCCCGAACAACGCATCACCGCATCTGCTGTGGACAGGAAAGCAGGGCAGCACAAGAATGTTACGAGTTTTCGGATGCATGGTGCAGTACCGACCCCCAGAAGCACGAGCGGGAAGATTTTCACAACGGGCACAGTGGGGACTACACCTCGGCATCGAGAAAAATTACAACGCGTGGAAAATTTTCGATGTCCACTCAAAGGAAACAGTAGCAGCACGTGATGTGATCTTCTACGAGCGACTCACCCTTCAAACGTACCTCGCCAACTTGCACGAGAATCAAGACCCCACAGGTGGTTTTCATGGTGACCGAGCCTTCGCCTCAGCAGCGGACGAAGCAGACTAGGATGAACAGAACGTCGACAACGCATCGGAAGAAACCGGACCTCTCCCGTACTGCTCCGTCGACGTGCCCATGGACGAAGACAATCCTCGCGACAGTGCCAACGCCGAAGTCTTCTATCACTTCGCCGACAACGGTTACGTAACACCTGCGACAGTCAACACAAACGAAGCAGAACGGATAGGGCCAAATTTCATACCCGATCCAGAAGCGGGAGACGAAGCAGCTTATCCCGAGGATCCAACACTCCCCCGATACTCACAGACTGGACTGCAAATCCTCGGCCTCGTCACCGCAGTCCACGGCAACGCACTTCCTAAGGAGCCTGCAACGGTTCAGCAGGCTCTGGGGGGGGAACATAGGGAGAAATGGCGCGAAGCCATGGACAGAGAGTTAAAGGCACTGGAGGAACGCAACACTTGGAAGGTCGTTCCCGCAAGCGTGGCAAGGAACAAGACCATTCTCACCGGGAAATGGGTCTTCCGCATCAAAACGAAAGCAGACGGCACAATCGAGAAGTTCAAAGCACGCTGGGTCGTGCGTGGATTCGACCAAGAGCAAGGACGAGACTTCACCGAGACATTCGCCCCAGTTAGTCGACATACCTCTCTTCGAATTCTTCTCGCCGTTGCCGCCATGAAGAAGAAGAAACTGCGACAAATCGATGTCGCCAACGCATTTCTCTACGCACCCGTCGACGCCGAAATCTTCGTCGAACTCCCACACGGTACCCACGGAAACCCCAATCAGGTCTGCCAGCTACTGAAATCGCTCTACGGAATCAAACAAGCCCCGCGGCTGTGGCAACAGCACCTACACACCCGACTCACTCGCATCGGATTCCGCCAACTGCCGCACGACCAAGGAATGTATCGATTCACTAAAGACGCCGATTACATCCTACTGATCGTCTACGTCGACGACCTACTCTACATCGGCTCCACCGACGACATCACCACCTAGTTCGAAGGGGAGCTGCAGAAGGACCTCACGCTCACGGTTTCTTCTACCGTCATTCAGTACCTCGGGCTCAACATCCACGAAGAAGAAAATGCTATCTACTTAAGCGCCGAGAAATACGCCGACACTATCTCCAAGCGCTTCTCGCTCACACCTACCGCTATCGCCACGCCATACCGCTACACGGCAGGAAGTAACAAAGGAAATTCTGCTCCACTCAAAGCTGCCGGAATACGAGACTACCAGAGGAAACTGGACTGCCTCCTCTTAGCAGCCGTCACCTGCCGCCCGGATCTATCTTACTCCGCAAGCCAACTCGCTACCTACCTCAAGAAACCCGAAGCAGAGCACCTGGCGGAGCTCGATCGCGCACTACACTACTTCGTGAGCACTCCGACGATCGGCCTGACTTACTACAAAAACGAAACTACGACCACGAAACTAATCGGCTACGTCGATGCCGATCATGCCGGCGATTCCGACAATAGGCGCTCTCGCACTGGCTACGTCTATCGTCTCGAGCCTATCGGACCTATCTCCTGGCAGTCGAGCAAGCAGGAACTAATCGCTCTCTCTTCAGCTGAAGCAGAATATATCACCCTCTGCTCAGCCACCAAGGAAGGACTCTACCTTCGCGAGCTGCTGGAAGAAGCAAGGTTAGCCGAGTTACCCAACTTCACCCTATTCTGCGACAGCCAATCTGCAATTCGCATCGCCAACAAAAGCGGATTCGCGAACAGAACGAAGCATATCGTTCTGCGATACTTCTTCGTGAAAGACGAGATCGAGAAAGGGAAACTCGAATTATCCTACTGTCCCACGTCCGAGATGGCAGCCGATTACTTGACCAAGAAACTCGGAAAACAGAAGTTCGAGTACTGCATGCTGCTGACTGGACAAGGCCACGTCACCATTAGCGACACTCCAGAAGCGAAGGGGAGTGTTGTTAACAATAAGTCTTAAAGCGCCTCTGTCGTGTCGAAACTCTGGACACAAGCGAAGCAGTCCAAATCGAAGCATCGCGAGTCAACCCTCGGAGGTTAGGGTAACCGCCTGGAGGTTACGCGAAGGTCAAAAGTCAGCGACCTTTGACTTGACAAATACAGCGCAACAGCAAGGACACACAACTGACTCGACATTGAGCAGTTGCCCGAGTCGCACTGTATCGAATCGCAATAGCAAAACAGTTTAAATATATCTATTCGTATTCCTTGTACTCTTATATAAAGCCTTGTATTTGCTTGTTTTAATGAACTTACTTTGCCCTCACATACTAGCGCAAGGTGGTTCAAGGACTTTTCATTCAAACGCTTCCGCTATTACAATCCTACTTAGACTTTAACTCTACAAAGATCCTAGGGCATCTCAGCCCAACACTGTGCACTGTCCAAGGGCTTGATCCCAAGTGAATTGGGTCTGTCCATACAGGGCATGAGGGGCACATCTGGCTTCTCAGCCAGAAGCACCTGCAGCTTCTGTGGATTGCCATCAGGGCATCGGTCATTGGTGGGGGGCCAGTGCATGCACGGCTCGGAAACAGCGGGAATGCAAGTGTGCCCCACGAATGTAACATGGGGAACTCCAAAGAGGGATGCACAGAGGTAGCCGAAAGTAGAAGTCTTGGAGATGATAAGTGCATCGGAAAAAAGAGCGAGGGTGTAGATGTCGATAATGGCCCGGTCTACTGATGCCGTATTGGTGGTGTTCTCCTTGTCATCGGCTGTCAAGTGCACTATATGCACACCATACCCAGAAGTGCCATTGTTGCGCTTGCTCCTGCTGCTGCCAACGCCACTGCCGCTCCTGTTGCTGCTGCTGCTGCTGCCAGTGCCACTATTAGTGCTGCTGCTTCTGGTGTCCATGCTTACACCGGGAGTTACAGTAGCTGCAGGCGCAGCAGGATCAGCAGTGGAGGCGGTACCACTGGGTGGTGGCTTTTCCTCTGTAGGAGCATCCTCCATGGGAGCACAAGCAGCGTCACTTCCCACTGTCACTCTCGCTACAGGCACATCGGCCATCACTACCCCTGAGAGGTTATGGACTAGGTTTTGGTTGAGAGACGCTACCATTACCTCAGTCACGTTGCCCCATGAACCCCCCACGCTGCAGTCACCACTGCCACTACCACCTCCACTGCTCCTGTCACCATCACTCGCTGTTCTAGCCATTGGATTGAACCCACCACCGCGTAACGCACCTTTCTCAGCCACACCTCCCACCCCGTGCCCAGTGCTCCCACTAGTGCCCCGCCCTGCTGAGCCTACTCCCTCTGCCCCTCCCTCTCCCTCTCGCATATCCCGTCCCCAGTGCATCTCAAAAGGACCCTGATTTCCCTTCAAAGCCGCCTCCCTGGCAAGCCGCATCCCCCTTGCTCTCTGCACGGTGGAGGAGTTGAGAGCTTGCAGCATGCAACGCCCCATAGCATCAGTGTACCAAGCTACTGTGCTCGCCTTTGCATGCGTTGAAAAGCGCCCCTGCAGGCCCACACGAGCTGGCGCCGGGGCGATTAGGGTGTGGTATCGGTGGGTGATTCCCGCCCAGATGCGATTGCGGGGGAAGAGCAGCAGGCGGGAGAGGGAGCGGAAGGGCATGTGGGCAGGGAAGAGGAGGAGGAGGAGGCGGCGGAAGGAGGGGAGGAGGTAGAGCGCGGGGAGAAAGTATTGGTTGGAAGTGAGGAGCAATGTGGGCGTGTGGGAGAGCCACTGCTGCTCTGCCTCGCAGAAGAACAAGAAGCCGGACGGGGTGGTTGCTTGGTTGATGTCGAGGCGTAGCCTGAGGGAAAGAGGGGGATGGGAAGGAAGAGAATCAGAATGGGGTAGAAAATGAGGGGAACATAAGTCTTCGATACACTTTGTAAAGGCTATGAAAACAACCCATCCGTTAAGCATGGGTAAAGCTGCGCGTACAAGGCATGTGAGAAGGCAGACACAGTATGACTGACAAGAAACGCTGGAACAAGAACAAGTGATTGTCACGGCACGGCATAGCACAGCACAGCACAGAACGCACATTGGTGGTGGCAGCTTGTCACCCGACGCCCATGCCTCCTCTCCCTCCCTCGCGCTCCTCCACTCCTTAGCCACTCTGGACCGAAGCACCCTGGCATACTCCTCCCCTTCTTCCTCCGGCCCATCGAACAGTACCCACGACGCCTCATGCTCAAACGGCTCACAGAACTCTGTAGCGGGCCCACTGCGAGACAGCAGCAGGAGAATCCGATCCGTCAGCAGCGCGTACGCGAACGAGGAGACGAGCGACATGAGCCGGTTGCCCTGCCCGTCTATAGTTTGGTGGTAGAGCAGGTAGCGGCAGGCAGTGCGGTTTCCGGCTAGCAGCGTGGCGCGCAGCTGAGGCATCGGCTCCTGCCGCAGGCACTCTCGCCGGTACCGGTGGTGCTGCCGCAGTTTCGTCTCAAGCGCCCCGGACACATGCGGCTGCACGCACGCTTCAGCGGCGCCTCTCGTGGGATAGCCGGCGGTTGCTATGCCCGCGTAGCATGCCATCTCGGCGCGGCTCCAGCAGACGCCGTCCTCGCGCTTGTACCCGCGCGAGGCCGTCTCTCTCGCTCTGCCTGCTTCGTCGTAATCGGTTGCTGTGGCAAGAGGCAATGGGAGAGTTGTTCCTGCGGCGAAAATGTCGGCGCAATCTGGAGGGAGTGGGAGGGAGATGGGAAGGGCAAGGGATGACTACCAGTAAGTGCAATTGCTCTGATGCAAGCGAGCCAGGAAGCACAACAACACCCATCGTTGCGAGCCAGGAAGCGAGCCAGGAAGCGAGCCAGGAAGAACAACAACACCCATGCTTCAGCCCGGACCAGCTTTTAGCAACGGCAGGTACCTTTGAGGCCGTGGGCCGAGACTGTGTGGGCTTGGTAGGTGCTGATAATGCCTGTGCAGGCTACCCAGAGTAGCAGCTTCAAAAGCACGCGGCTGTGGTAGAGAGACGCGCGTATCCGACGAGAGGGATGATGAGGCGAGAAGATTCTGAAAGGTGGGGGGGTAGGAGAGAAATTTCACAAAGACGGAGATTGAAAGGAGGTGGAGAAGGAGAGGTAGCAGATTCTGTTCTCAAGGAATGGTGGAACAGGGAGGGGGAGGGAGGATGGCGGGACAAGGGGACAGGTGGGAGAAGGAGGGAAGATGGAGGGGGGAAGGTGGGGATGAAAGGGAGGGAGAGGTAAAAGGTTTGAGTAGGGAGGGAGGAAGAAAATGGGGGCAGAAGTGGGACGGAGGAGTTGGGGTGGTTGGACCCCTCATGAGACGAGGTGGGTGGAAGCTGCGTTGGGAGCGTTGGGATGGGAATGCATGAAAGCAAGCAAGCAATACAATGAGTCCAGTCCCTACGGCTCGTAGAAAAGTGAATGGCGTACGACGAGGCTGCTTCCCACAGATGAGGGAGGTGGCGGCGGCGGTACCTTTTGAGGGAGGTACTAGTCAGCCCCTCCCATGATAGATCCTGCGGCAGGGAAACGTCCAGCGGAGTGCCGAGCGGAAGGGAGAACCCCTTCGCTGCTTCGTTCACCTCAGCCTCGTGCATTTCCGGCGACTTCAACCCACGGCGACGGCGCTGTCGCGTCGCATTTGTGTCCCATCTCCCACCCATCACGACCACCAAACTGACGCCCTAAACTGGCGAGAACAAAGAAACGGTTTCCTCTTCCTCGTAGCCAACTAGCAGGATTACGAGAGCTCACGGGCGGTATCTCTCGCAAGACTGCCGCAGCCCATGACCTAAATACCTGTCTGGAGGTCCTACTAGCTATCTGGAGATGGTAAATCATGTTTGGAGCACCTCTCTTGAAACTCTGGAATGTTAGTGGCTCCGAGGTTTCCTGTAGCTTGCCGCAGGGTGACCGTCGATTCTGGCAGATCGTGTGGAGATGCTGCGCCGCATGTCGAATCAACAGAGCCATGCGATGGCCCGGCGACTCACAGAAGGAAGGCCGCTCGTCACGTGGCGTCACGATATCAATCCGTGCAAGGCGCCGGCAATCGGGTGGTTCGCCGCAGCAGCTGGATCGGTTCAGCACCAAGTGTTCAGAATCGTTCGGAATGCAATGGTTTATCCTCAGGGTGACCAGTACAGCCGTACGCTGAGGGTTCTGTTCTACCACCACCGTCGGATGAGCCATAGGGAGTGGACTATCAAGCCAGCAGGGTGGAAAAGGAACACGCGGCGTGCGGCAGGAGACTCGGAGACTCGTCACGGCACTCAGCCTCGACCCTAAATCAGGAGAGAATCACAATGCACCCTGAGAAGATGACGGGCCAAAGATTGCGTATAACAGGCCCATAAGATTGCTTATCGAATACGCAAGTCAAGCAGTTGCAACTTCAGCCATGGCTACCTGTGTGAAGTTGGGAGGGACACCTAGTCTGGCCACACACTCAGTGATCTGGTTCTACTTGACAAACTCAGGTGAAAGACAGCAAATATACGTAGAATTGACGAAACCCACTAGGACAGCAGGAAAGCAGGCGAAAGATAGAATGTTTATTCGCGATGATTCGCGAAGATTTCGAAATGGTTGTGTCACATGGGCGTGTACTGTTACATGTAGTAGTGTGCATCTTATATAAACGTTTTTAGGCAGATGTTTCACTGTTGCTGAGAATCTGCTAGGAAAATCCAAATAGATTTTCCGCCAGCACGCTACCTAGCTAGCACATCATTTCTCGCGTTGTCGAGAAGTAAAGCAGCATGCATGGAATCGGCAAACACAGTAGCGTTGAGCTGCTAAATGTGTTTGGGGACTGGGGTGGGGACAGACAGTTGGTCCCAGGCTTCATTTTACCAAACAATTCAGCATTGGAAGCATGGGAAAAGGGGCAGATCAGCGATCACACTTCAAGTGGTGATAGGAAGCACATTTTTCGTGAATGTACATTTATTCGGTGATTTTTTTGTACACACATTGCTTGGATACACTATTCACCCCCTAAATCCTCCCAAACTAGAAACCCTAGGTATATACTGCACAACCTTAAGTGGAGCAAAGATGTGGTTGAGAATACGGGCAAGGCGCACCCCACCCATATAAATGCGAATCTCCACTACAGGCAGGCGAGTATTGAAGTACTCGCATTTACTGTACAGCCCTATTATGTCAAGCGAAGATGTGGTTGAGAACACGGGCAAGGCGCACCCCACCCATGGCAACGCGAATGTCCACCACGGGCAGGCGAGAATTGAGATACTCATATGTGGAGTTTCATGAAGAAGCCGACGTTGCGATGCGGTGGTGTTGGGTGAAACACACGGTAAGGGAGGGAGAGGAATCAGGTAAAAATGGTGGTGCAGCTGGTAAAAAGAAAACAGTTGTTGTGAAAAAAGAGTAACAGATTTGAATGGCAGACAAGTCGGGGAAATGGCTCCGTTCTGTTGGTATGCATTGCATGAAATGTCGATAACACCCCAACTCATTTTTGCAAGCATCGAGGACACGAAAATGCCACCGCCTGACATGCAACTCTTATTCCTTATGGCTCGACGTTTTGCATGCACAACAACGCACCTCCAAGCACAGCTCCAGGTGTCGCGTTGCGATAGGCCCAGTTGCATGCATCCTTTGCGCTCTCCATGGCATATCTGATTATCAAAGGTGGTGTAAATAGGTGCCAGGAGATGCGATGAGATACACAGCTGGGCAGTTGAACAGGTGGAGTAAATGTGCACTAGTTACAGGTGAGTATGTTGAGGGGATGCGATTTTCTGCTGTCCATGGCATATCTGATAGTGAGCAGAGATAAGAGCAGGTGCGAGGAGGTGCGAGGAGGTGCGAAGGTGCGAGGAGGTGCAAAGAGGTACGAGGAGATACAAGAAGCAAGAAGAAACAATAGAGGGTTAATTTTAAGACCAAGAATTACAAAGTCGGACCCGCAAGAAATGTAAGGCAGACTTATCGGTAGTGCGCAACCTGCAATTGCACAAAGAGAAGAACCACTGAGATTAAATACGAGTTCAAGTTTATGCATGGTTGCACAAACACAAGAACCACTGAGCTTAAAAATTTGAGTTAAAAATAACGCACAGCTGCATGAACAGAAGACAAGGCAGAGCAGAGACTTAAGAATGAAAACAGTGTAGAAAAAGGTACACCAGAACAGACTTGACATTACAAGACACGGCGTCCTCCTATTGGACGAGGATACGGAGAGTAGAGGCACTTACACAGCTGGACATGCAGCAATTTGGGTAGGAACAAGGTTTGGTGTTGCTTCAGCAGCTCCGTAATCATCAGTAAAAGCACCCGTAACATCAGACAGGTCACTTACATAGCTGGGCAGGCAGCAGCTTGAGCAGGAGAAACGGCCAATGCTGATTCAGCAGCAGCAGCACCATCAGTAGCAGCACCATCAGCAGCAGCACCATAAGAGGCAACGACCCCATGGTAGGAGGCCCAGGCAGGAATGTGAGGGAGCCAGTCAGAGGCGAGTTGGTGGCGAGATAAGTGGCACTTATACAGTTGGGAAAACAACAGCTTCAGCAAGAGAAGCACCTATAGCCTCAGCAGCTCAGCAGCATCAAGAGCAGGAAAAGCGATATCTCTAGGGCAGGAGGCCCATGCAGGGATGAGGGGGCGCCAGAGGCGAGTTGGTGGAGAGAGAAAAGGCACTTACACTGTTGGGCAGGCAACAGCTTCAGCAGGAGAAATGGCCGATGCTGATTCAGCAGCAGCAGCATAAGAACGATTATCCTCAGGGCAGGAGGTCCAGGCTGGAATGAGCGTGCGCCAGTCAGAGGCAAGTTGGTGGGCGATATGATGCAGCATGGCTGTGCTGCTGCCGTCGTAGCGCAGGTGGATGGCCATGGCTATGATGTAGCTGTCCCATACCTGGAGTGGAGAGCGGTAGAGAGGTGTCGAGGGGAGTAGAAACGGGTGGTGTGGGGTAGAGAGGGGTGTAGAGGGTGAAGGACCCCAAAGACACGAGGGCCGATGTGATGGCGGTGTGGCTGTCGTTGTAGCACAGGCGTACCACCATGCTGCACCTCGTCGACCAATAAACCCCTTCCCACCCCTCTCCACCCCTCTCCATGGCCATGGCTATCATGTAGTCCTTCCATACATGGAAGTGTCCTTAGGGAGTGCAGGGTGGTGAAATGGTGTTGAGAGGGGTGGAGGAAAAAAAAAATACAGATGCCATAAAGACACCAACAACTTGCCACATAAACAGATTACGGATGTCATCCTAGTTATTAGGTGACTTTCGGATCGACTCAAAAGTCACCTCATTACGGATGTCATCCTAGTCATTTCCACTGTCTAAAATGGCAGGAATAGCATGGCATGGCATATTGCATCAGGCCAGGGTGAGCATATCGCATGCATGGTATGGTATGGCATGGCATGGCAGGGCAGAGCAGACATACCAGCTGCAGGTCCGTTTTCCTCTTGAACCATGTCACATGCACCCCGTTACCTTTAGAAGAGCCTTGATAGACGGCAGGGCAGACATACGTATTGCATGTAGGTTAATTTTCCTCTTGAACCATGTCACGTGTACCATGTTACCTTTCGAAGAGTCTCGAGTCTCAACAGTCATGCCATTGCAGGGCGGGCATTTTGCACGCATGGCACGGAAGAGAAGGGAGAAGTCGGACATACCGCATGAAGGTTTGTCTTCTGATTGAACCATGTCATATGCACCCAGTTGCCACCGAAATCAGATGCGAATCCCAAGTGCAGAGGCTGCACCAGGGGATGTGAGGTAGACGGATGGAGGCATGCGGGGAGGGAAAATTAGAGGACCATGTCACGTGCACCCTTTATTGCCACCCGGATCAGATGTGAATCCCACGTGCCGTGGCTAATGCAAGGGGATTTGAGGCAAACGGATGGAGGCATGGAAGGGGGGGGGGGAATGGGAATCCCATGTGCAGGGGAAGGCGGATGGAGACATGAGGGCGGGGGGATTGAGGGAATTAGACATGCACAACCTGTTGCCGCCCAGATTTGGTGCGATGTGAACTCCACGTGCAGAGGCTGAAGCAGGGAGATATGGGCAGACAGAAGGATGCATGAGAAGGGGGGGATACTTAGACTCGCACCCTGTTGCTGCCCAGATTTGGTGTGAATCCCAAAGTGCAGAGGTTGAAGCAGCGGCATTGGCGATGCATGGAGGCACAGGGGGTGGAGAGACAATAGGGGACGGACCAGCGTACACCCGTTTGCCAATGTCAACCCCACGCGCAGAGTTTGAACCAGGGGTTTTGTCCAGAAGGGGGGGGGGGGGGGGGGGGGGGGTGTAGAGGAGGGGGGGGGAGAAATGGAGCGACGAAGGGGTCAAACTTGCACCTCTGACGCTACCCATAAGTGAGGTGCATCCCATCCCACGTACGAAGGCTGAAGAGCGGCTATGGGGTTATACATGCACCCTTCCTTGCCTCCCACCTCACCTGGTGCACGTCCCTACAAAGTGCGCCAACAACAGCAGTGCCACTGTCAGGTTGTAGCCTCTTATGGATGGCCAAACCTTTGCCCCGCGGCAAAGGTGCAAAGGGGACTTGAGGGTCGGGGGGGAGATTGGGGGATGGAGAGGTGGAGATGGGATTCGAGCTGGTGAAGTTGTAGCCTCTTATGGACGCCCCACCCTTTGCTCCTTGCTCCTTTGCTTCTGTGCCCCTTGCTGTTGCTTATACGTTCACTCCCCCCCACCCTCACGTGGTGCACGTCCCCTGCGAAGTGCGCGAGGAACATGAGTGCCTCTGTCAGGTTGTGCTGTCTGCTAACCCTGGCCCTTGTTGAAACTAGTTCACCAAAACCATGCTCACTTGGTGGATATCCCCTGCGAAGTGCGCGAGAAACATGAATGCCTCTGTATGTGGCGCCTTTTGAGTCGACTCAAAAGTGCACTTTGCTGTTGGAACCTGCACATGTTGCACTTTGCTTCTTTGCTGCTTTGCTACCATATTAGTGCACCACTTCCAACCTCACCTGGTGGATATCCCCTGCAAAGTGGGCGAGGAACGTGAGTGCCTCTATCACGTTGTAGCGCTGAAGAAACCCTGCTGCACCCAGTGCTGCTCTCTGCTCACAGGTGGGAGGACTAGCAAAAGCCGCAGAAGCAGAAGCAGCTATAGCAGTAGCAGCGGTGGGAGCGAAAAGCGAGGCATGGGCAGCACTCCTCGCACCGTCTTGTACCACTCTCTTTTACAACCGCACCGTCTCCTCTTCCCCCTCTCCCTCCTCCCCTTCTCCCTCTTCCTCTTCTCCCTCCTCCACTTCTCCCTTCTTCTCACCCCCCCCTTGCACAACAGCTTCTGCCTCACCAACCCCTCTGAGAAGGTTGCGGCGGGAAGCAGCTTCGAGGAAGGGAGCAGGATTATGTGGTCTTGTGGGTCCGGAGGGGGGAATTGGGGGATGGAGGGGTGGAAAGAGGATTTGAGCTGGGCGGAGGAAAGGGGGGAGTAGGAGGGGGTCTGGGCGGAGGAATGGGGGAAGTAGGTGAGGAGCAAGAGGTGTAGTTGATAATAGCGTTAGCAACACACACATCGGAATGATGGGTGAAGGTGCAATCGCCTGGAGGGGAAGGGGAGAGTGGAGGAAGAGAGAAGATGAAAGCGTATGAGAGGAGCTGAGGATGTGGCTGGTCACAGTGCTGGCAACGTAAAATGAGGGTGCTATTAAGACGTCTCAAAAGCACCCTCATTTCACGTGATTTTTTCGAGAGGAGCTATCATCGGCGCTCGCGAATGAAGAGCGCCTTTCCTGCACATGCACGGATCCTTCCGCATTTTGGGGCTGGAAGCGCTCGTTCCAAGCGTTTTTCTTCCGCTGGGTCACGTGGCTGCGCTTCTCTAGGCCTATTACCAAGCCAGCAAGAGCGAGGGAGGGTTGCAAGCATCATCGATTATCGGCGCTTGCGAATCAAGAGCGCCCGCTGCACTTCCTGCACATGTGCGGATCCTTCCGCGTTTTGGGGCTGGAAGCGCTCGTTCCGAGCATTTTTCTTCCGGCGGGTCACGTGGCTGCACGTGGGAGGGTTGCGAGCATTATCGGTCATCTGCACTCGCGAATAAAGAGCGCTCGCTGCATGTTCTGCACATATGCGGATCCTTCCGCGTTTTGGGGCTGGAAACGCTTGCTTCGAGCGTTTTTCTTCCGCCATGTCAAGTGGCTGCGCTTGTCTGGGCCTATTGCGAAGCCAGCAAGGGCGTGGGAGGGTTGCGAGCATCATCGGTCATTGGCGCTCGTGAATGAAGAGCGCCCACTGCACTTCCTGCACATGTGCGGATAATTCTGCGTATTAGGGCTGGAAGTGCTCGTTCCGAGCGTTTTTCTTCCGCCGGGTCACGTGGCTGCGCTTTTCTGGGCCTATTACCAAGCCAGCAAGGGCGTGGGAGGGTTGCAAGCATCATCGGTCATCGGCGCTCGTGAATGAAGAGCGCCCGCTGCACTTCCTGCACATGTGCGGATCCTTCCGCGTTTTGGGGCTGGAAACGCTTGTTCGGAGCATTTTTCTTCCGCCGGGTCAGGTGGCTGTGCTTGTCTGGGCCTATTGCCAAGACAGCTAGGGCGTGGGAAGGTTGCAAGCATCATTGGTCATCGGCGCTCGCGAATGAAGAGCGCCCGCTCTACTTCCTGCACATGTGCGGATCCTTCCGCGTTTTGGGGCTGGAAACGCTTGTTCGGAGCATTTTTCTTCCGCCGGGTCAGGTGGCTGTGCTTGTCTGGGCCTATTGCCAAGACAGCTAGGGCGTGGGAAGGTTGCAAGCATCATTGGTCATCGGCGCTCGCGAATGAAGAGCGCCCGCTGCACTTCCTGCACATGTGCGGATCCTTGCGCGTTTTGGGGCTGGAAGCGCTCGTTCCGAGCGTTTTTCTTCCGCCGAGTCACGTGGCTGCGCTTGTTTGGGACTACTGCCAAGTCAGCAAGGGCGTGGGAGGGTTGCAAGCATCATCGGTCATCGGCGCTCGCGAATGAAGAGCGCCCGCTCTACTTCCTGCACATGTGCGGATGCTTCCGCGTTTTGGGGCTGGAAACACTTGTTTTGAGCGTTTTTCTTCCGCCGGGTTATGTGGCTGCGCTTTTCTAAGCCTATTTCCAAGCCAGCAAGGGCGTGGGAGGGTTGCGAGCATCATCGGTCATTGGCGCTCGCGAATGAAGAGCGCCTGCTGCACTTCCTACACATGTGCGGATCCTTCCGCGTTTTGGGGCTGGAAGCACTCGTTCCGAGCGTTTTTCTTCCGCCGGGTCACGTGGCTGCGCTTGTCTGGGCCTATTTCTAAGCCAGCTAGGGCGTAAGAGGGTTGTGAGCATCATCGATCATTGGTGCTCGTGAATGAAGAGCGCCCGCTGCACTTCCTGCACCTGTGCGGCTCCTTCTCGTCACCCTTCTCCCTACTCTCATCACCCTTCTCCCTACTCTCATCACCCTTCTCCCTACTCTTATCATTCTTCTCCCTACTCTCATCACCCTTCTCCCTACTCGCATCACCCTTCTCCCTACTCTCATCACCCTTCTTCCTAATTTCATCACTCTTCTCCCTACTCTCATCACCCTTCTCCCTACTCTCATCACCCTTCTCCCTACTCTCATCACCCTTCTCCCTACTCTCATCACCATTGGGGATTCTCAGTTGGGAAAGATTGGATGAGGAACGGAGGCAGCGAGATCGGCACCGACAGCGTTGGGGTGAGAGTGGTAGACTGAGGGAGCTGCACCTAGATGTGGGGGTGTTCCACAAGCCTATAGTGCTGCTGGAGTTGTTCGCGGGTATTTGCGCAGGGCTGGCCGCAGTGCTGAAGGCAAGGCTGAGGGTGGAGAAGTATATCTACGTGGAAAATGATGAGGCGGTGAACTGCATGGCTTGGCACCACATTAAGAAGCTGGAAGAGCGTTACCCCTCGCAGTTGTATGGAGGCACAGTGGAAAGGGGGGCGGAATGGGTGTGTCACAGGGTAGAGGATGTGAAGGAAGACGCGCTGGCCCACTGGGGGCACGTAGATCTGGTAGTCGCAGGATGGAAGTGCCAGGGCTTATCATGGGCAGGAGAAGGAAGGGGGTTTGAGGATCCGAGGAGTGGGCTGTTCCGCGAGCTGGTGCGAGTGTTGAAGATGATCAAGAGGAAGCAAGGGGAGGTAGCATACATAGTGGAGAATGTGGACACCCGGGATGACGGGAGAGAGGCGGTGAAGAGAGCAGAGGCAGAGATTCGTGCAGAGTTGGGGGCAGGAGTGGCTTGGGACGCGGCGTAGAACGGCAGCAGGGCGCACAGACCTTGCAGGTATTGGCAGAACGTGATACCGGAGGCAGCCGTCCTATACGAGCTGTCTATGATGGAGCGGCTGCGTGCCCGCCTGATGCAGGACATACTCGAGCCTGCAAGAGTCCCAGCTCCTGTGAGATGTCCTGACCACGAGATGCAGTACCCATGCAACGCGGTGGGCAAGCCACGGCAGGCATGGCCCACCCTGGTGGCACACGACCAGGCGAAGGGGTTCAAGATGGAAGGTGCTAGAGAAGGCCCAGGGATGGTGTACGACAACCTGAAGGGAGTATGGGAAGAGCCTACAGCATTGGAACGAGAGCTGGCAATGGGATTCATGGCAGGAGCCACGACGAGTGGAGACGTGACGGAGTAGCAGAGAAAGAGGGCACTGGGGAATGCGGTGGATCTGAACACGTTACACTGGCTAGTGGGAGTCCTACAGAGGCACCTAGAGAAAAAGCCGCTGGAGAGGAGGAGAGATCATGCAGCAAGAGTAAACCCAAGGTTAGAGCGGGATGACCGAAAGCAGTGGGAAGCGGAGCGGTTCCTAGAACTGCTAGAGGAGGAAGCACGGGAAGAACGTCAAAATGGGGTACCGGTGGAGAGGAGGACGGGAAGCCACGCGGAAAGGGATAAAGCACCCGGGAGATACCCTGACCAGGATGAGGAGGAGGAGGATGTGGAAGAAGGGGGGGAGCCTGAAATGGATTGGGACAGTGAAGAGAGAGAGGATCCAACGGACGCATGGATCCCTGACCCTGACGAAGTATTCCTGGGCCCAAGGAGAGCGTACATGGCACTGAGGAGCGACGGCGGAGAAGAGCGGTCAGGAGATGCTGGAGAAGGAGGGGAGAGCAAAGCGGAAAGGAAGGTAGAGGATGAGGGACAGCCAGCACCACAGGTCGCCGATGGCACGGAAGGACAAGTGGCAGCAGGAGAGCTAGAAGGGGAACACCAATGGAACATAGGCACTGCCCTGCAAGGAACTGCAGCAATTTGGCTGGAAGCAGTGCTGTGTAAGTACGCAGCGGCGTTCGCACACACTCTGCAGGAGCTGGGGAAGTGCACGATGAGTACCATGCACCTGCCTTTGACCAGCGAGGTGCCAGTGTATCAGAGACGGCGAAGGATGAGCCCACAGGACATTGAGGTCTGCACCGCGAAATGCCAGGAGCTATTGGCAACCGGAGTGATCCACCGCTCTTCCTCGGACTATGCAGGTGCCACAGTAGTAGCCGCCAGGACAGATCTGACAGGAGCAGTCCTGTCAAGGAGAATGTGCGGGGACTACAGGGGCCTAAACAAAGTGACGGCTAGCGACCGCTACCCTATGCCCATGGTAGAGGAAATTTTCAATCAGCTGCACGGAAGCTGGGTGTTCTCTACGCTGGATTTGTGGCAGGGTTTTAACCAAATCCCTATAGCAGAGGAGGATAAACGAAAGACGGCATTCCATGGACCAGACGGCCTGTACGAGTGGAACTATATGCCGTTTGGCCTGCGCAATGCTTCAGCAGTCTTCCAGCGGGTAATGGACACCGTGCTAAGAGAGGTTAAGGGAGGTGCCTGTTACATAGATGATGTCATCATCTTTAGCCCGGACAGCGAAAGACACGTGGAGGACATAGAGGCGACACTGACGGCCATTCAAGCAGCGGGACTAACATGCCATCCGGGCAAGTGCCGTTTCGGACACAGCAGCGTGGCTTACCTGGGGTTTGAGGTGGCAGGAGGGGAGCTGAGCATCCAGAAGGCTAAGGTGGAGGTGTTGGACAGGGTGGGGCGACCAAGGGACAGGAGCGGGCTACGAGCAGTTTTGGGATTCCTGAACTACTACAGAAAGTTCATTCCCGACTTCAGCAAGCGCGTGGCACCACTGAACAAGCTACTGAGAGAAGATCAGAAGTGGCAGTGGGAGGAGCCACAAGAAGAGGCCTTGAAGGGGTTGATGGAGGCGGTAAAGAGCGGGGCCGTACTGAAGCTGCCGAACGGGAAGGCGCCTTTCATGCTCTACACGGATTGGAGCAGCGTAGGCATGGGGGCGGTGCTGAGCCAGCTGGAAGAAGGACAGGAGAAGGTAGTCGCATTCGCGAGCAGAACCTGTAATCCGGCGGAGGCTAATTACTCGTCGTATGAGGGAGAGGGGCTAGCGGCAGTTTGGGTAGTGGGACACTTTCGAGTGTACCTACAAGGAAGGCACTTTACTCTGGTGATGGATCACCAGCCCTTGCTGTGGCTGATGCAGAACCAGACTCTCACAGGGCGGAACGCGCGATGGGCGATGAAATTACAGGAATACGATTTCACAGTGAAGCACCGCCCGGGCCGAACCATGCAGCACGTGGATGGGCTCTCAAGAAACCCACCAAGGGAGCAAGAGGACGGAGAGAACGGAGACACAGCAAGGGGGCAGCCGGTGGCAGCGCTGACTGACATGGTCAAGGAAAAGGGGGCAGGTGGGGAGTATCAACGGGAGTTGTGTGTTGGCCCCGTCCACGCTTGGGCGGAGCCGACTTCGTGGTGGGGTGTACGGAAGGTACAGCCGACTTGCAGCAGTGGGCGACGCCGACTTGGACGAGCTGGTCGACGGGGTTGGTCGACTTGGGAGGTCGACGAGCACATACAGGAGCAGCTGGTCGACATAGTTGCCCGGTCGACCAGGATACCGGGGTGATGAGGTTCTGCGAGGAGTGCGACGGTCGCCCAGGCAACGTTGGCGAGTCCAACCTCGGTGGTGGTATCCCGAGGTCGACGTGGCGGATCAGGTGGAGCCGTCAGCACGAAGATGACTTGGTGCGTGCGCTGTTTAGGTGACAAGGCTTAGCCCTCCAATCATCAACGAGCACCTGCAAAGTAGGTACGCTGCTATTCTACGAGAGCAACATTGGCACGCCGTCAACCTGCAGCGTTGGCACGCTGTCGACTTTGCACTGCTGGAGCGCGGTCGACCAAGTCGTGCTGGAACGCGGTCGACCATGCTGTCCTAGCAGTAGACCGACCTGAATGCTAGCTCTGATGTAGTCTTGCCATGCCAACTTGATTGTACCATTTTTTGTTGTCAACTTTCTCTAGTGAAACTCTTGCCAAATTGCTCCGTGAACTAGCAAGCAGTGTGAGCACTAGGAAAACGACTAAGAACCAACGAACGCAGAGATCACACGATCATCCGTGCCTAGCCCGTAGTCTAGCTCCCATTGTAGTAGTTATCTCCGCAGGGAGTAGGAGAGAGGAGCAGCAGATGTGTGGCAAGACGCAGCGACACTGGCATGGATCAAGGGAGAGACAGCAGAGGATGGTGGACTTGACAGCAGGGCGAGGGCTAGGGGGCAACACTATAGGTGGTACTAGGGGCAAGTACAGCTGCAGACCAAGGATGGGTGGAAGCGAGTACCGGAGCCAGCAGCACGAGAGGCTATAATCAAGGAAGTGCACGAGAAGCTTGGCCACTACGGACCGCTGCGCATGATCCAGGTGCTGCAGACGGGGTGGTGGTGGGCGGGAATGAGGAAGGAAGTGAAGGAGTGGGTAGAGAAGTGTGAGCTGTGCTGCAGGAACAAGGCCACGCTGCTGAGGAGCCAGGCGGAGCTGCAGTTATTGGCTATAGTGGAGCTCGGGTATCGCTGGTCCTTGGACATTGCAGGGGAGCTGCCAGTATCAAGGAGGGGGAGGAAGTATATAGTGCTCATGTTTGAGCACGTGAGCAAATGGGCGGAAGCACGACCTTTGGTGAACAAGTCAGCTGCAGCCGTGGCAGAAGCATTTGAGGAAATGGTGATCACACGATTCGAGGCATGCGGGGAGGTGCTCACAGATCAAGGGGCGGAGTTTGAGGGAGAGTTCAAGGAGCTGTTGGTGTCCAACGGGATTCAGCACCGCACAACCTCAAGGTATCATCAGCAGGCCGACGGACTGTCAGAGAGGCTGGTGTAGACAGTGAAGAGAGGCCTACGGGTATATGGGTAGGCGCATAAGGGGGACTGGGACAAGAAGCTGGCGTGGGTAATGGCAGGATACAGGTTTAGCAAGCAAGCAGCGCTCAAGGATGTCTTTCCCTACTATTTGCTCTTTGGGAAGCATCCGATTCTGCCGGTGGGAGCTCTCAAAGTGCTCACGGACAGCGTGTCGACAGGAACAGCAGAGAAGTGGGTGGCACTGGCGGATGCGCGGGCGGTGTACCTCAGGAAGATGCTGCCTGCTGCGCTGGAGAGCTTGAAGGTGGCGCAGCTGCGAGACATTCACCGCTACAAGCAGCGGCAGCTGGCAAGGATGCAAGGCCGAGACCCGGCTGTGGAGGAGGGAGGAGAAGTGTATGTTAGGCGAGCAAAGCGGGATGGGCTGGACCTGGGAGTGTCGCAGCAAAGGTGGACAGTGAAGGAGGTGCGAGACTCAGGGGTACTGGTGCTAGAGGGAGAGAATGGGAAGCGGGTGATGGACCACGTGACTAATGTGGCCTTGGCCGGGAAAGCAAAGGGAGTGCAGCAGTACTCTGGTCCCATGACTAGGGCGAGGACGGCGGCAGCTGGTCCTGGGAGGAGGCAAGAGTGAGTTCAGTACCAGAAGCAGAACCAGAGAAGAGGGAGAGGGGAAGAGAGTGTGCAGGCAAAGGCCACACCAGGAGGACAATCAGTAAGAATGACGAGGGCAAGAGAGGTTCCTGGTAGAGGGGGGGGGGGGGGAGCAAAGGGGTGAGATCTAACGAGTCCAGTCCAGGGAGATAAGGGAGGAGAGAGCAGCGAGGACTGGAGTCTGACAGAACAAGTAGCAGGGAGGTGGGGAGGTTCCGACAGCTGTCACATTTATGTCAATGTGAGCGGGATAGTGAGGAGAGATCGGGAAGTGTACAAATTGTATATACTGTAGATAGCGAGGAGGGCAGTGGCGAGGATGGGATGAGAAGGGTTAAGGAGAGGATTGAGGTTTGCGGGGAGACAAGTGGGTGCGCGGGAGGGTGACGTCTGCCGAAGCGAAAGGTTGGGGAAAGGCATGGGGAGCAAACAGGGCGGGACTTACGTAAGTGGGAGGAGGGCAAGGGTTGAAACTACAGCGCTTGGCAGCGGCAGGGCCAGCAGGTTACCACATCAGCTCGGATGGGTGCTCACATGCATGTGTGTTTGCTTTCATATGTGTGCAGGTGTGCTCCAAGGAGCCAGCTGGAATAGCACAATGGCAGCTGGAGGGAAAGAAGCAGGAGGCAGGCAGCAAAGGCAGTTGGCAGGATGGTTGCTAGTCTGTTCCAAAGTCACGTTAGCCTCTGCGGACAGGCAAAGGTAGGCAGGATGAGTGAGGCGGTCTGGTCGGTATGCACACCCTTCATGGGCAAACCACGCAGAGTTCAGGCGCTCAAATCTTGCGAACCACATGGAACAAAATAAAAACGCTTGTTGTGGATGTGCAAAACAGTCTAATCTAGTGGATCAGCAGAACGAATGAGGCATCCAATTAAGTGGACCAATCAAGGTGATGCGTTGGGCTGTCTGGTCGGTATGCGCACCCTTGATGGGCGTACCACGCAGAGTTCAGGCGCTCAAATCTTGCGAACCACATGGAACGAAATAGAAAAGCTTGTTGTGGATGTGGAAAACAGTCCAATCTAGTGGGCCAGCAGAACAAATGAGGCATCCAATGAAGTGGACCAGTCAAGGAGATGCGTTGGGCAATCTGGTCGGGTTGGGCGAACCACGCAGAGTTCAGGCGCTCAAATCTTGCAAACTACATGGAACGAAATGGAAACGCTTGTTGTAGATGTGGAAAATAGTACAATCTAGTGGGCCAGTAGAACAAATAAGGCATCCAATGCAGTGGACCAGTCAAGGTGATGCGTCGGGCAGTCTGGTTGGTATTCGAACCCTTGATGGGCGTACCACGCAGATTTCAGGGGCTCAAATCTTACGAACCACATGGAACGAAACGAAAATGCTTATTGGGGATGTGGAAAATAGTCCAATCTAGTGGGCCAGCGGAACAAA